GTTCCTAAATGTTATATTAGTCCTTAACCAAAACTGTTTAACTCTTGTGCCTGCCTTCTTAAATTGTGAAATATCCGGAGCAGTTATTGAACATGCTTATACTGTCACTGAAGAATGAGATTTGGTATCATCTTAAAATTTTTTGTTCGCAATACATCTCTAATCAAGCAAAAAGATGTCTGCAATGGTTTAAATGTCAACTGTATGTGGTAAAATCTTCTTTGAATTTCTGGACTTAAGAACTTCAGTTGCAGGATAACGGGATTATGAAGTTCCCAGGTGAATTAGTTTTTGCATCTTATGGTGTATTAATCTTCTCTAATGCTTTCAGTTCAGCAGAGTTAAGGAGCAACTACAATAGCAGTTTTCTTTATTGGTAGAAGTTTTATTTACCACAGTACATTTTTCTGCAATATATATCTTCCATCATGAAATTTACTCTAGCTACATATCTTGATTCTGGGATATGAGAGAGCCACAATTTGGAAAGCCAGATGGCCTCAATGATCTACATTGGAACTTTCTGAATCTTCAATTTCTTATCTAGTTATAGACAAGCAAAGAGTTGGAATATTTGTACTGATGTACTTACAGGATCCCACATATACTTTATCAGAAAAGCTTTTTCTTTTGAGTGAATGTTGTACTTATGGAGTCACTCAACGTTTCATTACAAGACTCTTATCTTCTTTTGCATGATTATTGAACTGTTACGTGTTAAAATTATTGGCAATAATTTTGGCACTCACTGTATTGTCTCCATTTGCAGACAGATGGAACAGGCTCCTTCAAGTTGCAGTTCTTCTTGGCAATCAAACACTGATTCTGGAGTCCTTCTAGATCTCTCCCTCCATAACTCTGTGCTGTAACAGGTATGAAACTTGGCATGGTTCATTTCATTTTTATTCATAAGAGGGTCCCTCTTGGGGACAGACTCTTATCCATGATATTTTTCATATAAAGTATTTAATAACATGAATTAAACATGATATGTTATTTTCAGCCACATGAGTGTAGGATCTTGATTGAATGGTCGGTTTCAGTACTGTAGTTAGTAGTAGATGACAAATGAGCAGTTCTGAGCTTCTTTTATATTTTTTATTGTCATGTCATATTCACATAAATATCGCTCTAATCCCAATCTCTAATGATATATTATCGTCCACCTATCTTTTTGTATATGACGATTAAATTCTAAATCAAAAAGCTTTTGATTACCTTCTCATGGTATAGCTTAAACAATAGCATATAAGATAGAAATTTTGGTATGATATAAAAGTCAAGAGGTCTAGTGTTCGGATTCTAGTTGTCGTCCTATTTTTGTTAATCAACATACAAGAAAATAAGATGAGTCTGTACTTGATTTACGTGTTCAGTCTAGAATACTCTTAAATCAATTTCAGCATGAAGAGTAGTTAAAAGTTCTCATGAAATTGTGATTAGAAAGTTAAATAACCTTTTCTTTTGATGTGCAATTGTTCAAGCTATGGAGTCTAGGCTTCTCTTTCTTAGTAATTTAATCCTTATGAATTCATATATACATATATATATATATATCTCTCTCTTTGCATAGCCCTTGCAAACTATGCAATTATCAAATTCTGATCTTTGGGATTCTTCTGGTTAATTCCCTGATTTGGTTCTTTTAGATTTCTACATAGAAGACATTTTTCTTTCGAAATAAAAATATAGTATATACCGTCAAATACAAACACTAAATGGGTGTCAACCCGTATACAAAATTATTTACATATCAATTAAGGTGTTTATAAGAATCCTGAAATCCTTCCCAAAACATAGAGAATAATCTGTAACTAAAAAATTTAGGATCTGGAACTACTTTTTTCTAACCCTATTTTAGATCCTCCTCCATCCCCACAAAGACTATCTTGTTTTTTTCTTCTACACAATCCAAAAAATAGTAGGTGGTACGAGAGCCACATGTTTTTTCCCCCTCGCTGATACTTTTCGGACCCAGATCTCCATCCGTAACTGTGTCAGCTATAAACTAATTAATTCCCAGGAGTCCATATGCCATGGTCCAAAGATTGTACACCAATGGATATCCAAGCAAGTGATTAATGATGAAGATTGTCTTTAATGCAGATTATGAGATAAAGATTGTTCTTAATCAATTTGTTAAGTATTAGACGGTTGCCGGAAGCCATAAATTAGATTCACAAGAATCACACATATGTTTCTAGTATTTTCTACCAAAATCAAGCCTCAGTTCTAAAGTTAATCAGCATTTCAAGATCATATTATTTAATGAGCAGTTCTGGATAATCTCATTTATAAAGAGATTATGTGGTTGTTTTCATTCTGATTAAAACTAAATCAGACTGGAGAGAGGAGTTTAAATTGTAAAGTTTTTATTTAATTTAACAATAATATAAAATAATACTATAAATAAATTTAAATTAATTAAAAACTTTATATAACTCTGCTACTTAATTTTTTTTTTTAAAAGAAAAAAACATCAACCCAAATAAAATTAATACTAATTAAGAATTAAAATAACAGTTATGAATTGTAAATTTAAAGAACATGATAATATCATATATATATATATATATATATATTTTTTTTTTTAATTTAAGTATTCATAAATGTATATTCTTTTCATCATAATATGTTATAGCATATTTTAAAAATAAGATACTATAAACTATGATGATATGCTACTGTAAATCTTAGCTATGCCGGCAAGTTTCATATAGTTTGAAGATAAAGAAAAGAACAAACTTCTAAATAGAAGAACAAAGTTGAAAAAAAGAGGATAAAAAAAACATCAGTTAGAGAAGCACTATGAAGAAAACACAACATTAGGAAAGCTTACTGGTCATCCTAAAATAGACCAAGAAGCATATACATATATAAATGTGTAGAATATTTATTCATTTATTTAATTATATTTTATGTAAAATGGAAAATATGTTTACACAGCAATAAGTTGCTGCCGAGCTTCAATCCTAATTTCTTCTTTCATTTTTCTTATAAACTCTTCAATTTTCCTGTTCAAATCATCATCATTACTCCCTATATCTTCTGCAAACTTTGTCTTTGCATCTTCTTCTTCTTGCTTCACCAAAATCCCACTTCTTACTTCTTCTCTCTCTCCATGATCATCTTCTCCAGCCAAATCCACTCTTAATCCTTCATCATCGTCTTCTTTTTCTTCTGCGTGTTCTTCATCTTCATCTTCCACTGCTTTCTCTTCTCTTTCTTGCTCCTCTTGATCAGCTATATATATAACATTGCCTGCAACATTCTCTGAAGGCCCATCAATGGCTTCCACAACAATAAAATGCTGATCATGCTTACTGACAAAGTGGACTGACGGTTTGATTTCTTCTTCAGTAATATTCATGTTGGATTGTAATGGTGATGATGAGGATGAGGTGGAAGAAGTCAAACTTTTAACAAGAAAAGCAAGGATTCCATTACAGATGAGGAACATGTATTTCCTGTCAATAGTGTGTGTAACGAAGGAGAAGAAGAAAGTGTTGGAAAAGTAGAGATTGCAAGAATGGAGAAACAAAGAGAAGAAGCCTGAAGAGTAGCAGAGAACCAGAGGGATTAAAGAGAAGATGAACTTCAAGCTTCTTTTAACCAAATTATAATCATTCTTGTTGAGGTTGTAATCCATCTCTGTCTGTGAGCTGAATTGGATTCTTGGAATGGCTTCTAGTGAATGACTTAGAACATCCAAGGTGAGTTCTCCTTCTTATACTGGTAGTGTATGGGGGGGTGTTATGTGAGTGAATTTACCAAAATGGTCATAGCTTCTTGACATTAAAACGAATTTGGTAATCGTAACTTTTTTAATATTATAGTAAGTTAAGTTCTAAATCTATTGAATAAAAAATTAAAAATTTACTATTGCTAACATTAATACGTTTGTATATATATATATATATATATGTAAGACATAAAAATTATACCTATAAACCAAGTCTCAAAAACGAAAAAGGTACAAGAAAAGAGTATTAGACCGAATCAATTCACAAAAATAAATAAGGGTTATAGTTATAACGATTCTCCTATTCAACCACTTCAACTATATCCGAACACCTTATGTTATGATATTTTATCTTAAAAGCAATCAAGAATTCGTTCATTTATGTATGATTTGATTTCTTGTACACTTTCACATAAAATTTCACCTCTAATTATTTATACAAGATTGGACATGAACTTTGATGTGGACCGTCTGATTTGGTGAAGTTGAAATGATGATCACACCACTGTATTATATTATATATATATATATATGTTAGTTGGAGAAGATCAGAAAGTCTACATGTATATCATGTGGGTCTGGACTGTTGAAGAAGAATCTTATTTCATTTGGTAGAACATTCAACGCCCTCTCCCTCTTTCTCTCTCTCTATCTCTCTCTCTCTCTCTCCCTCCCTCTCTCTCTCTCTCTCTGTCTATATATATATATATATATATGCAGATATAAACATATATTTTTATTAGTACTGTCTGCCTGAATTCTTTGAAATTTCTAGGTATCACCAGACTTGGTCAGAGACCGCCTAGGACACGGTATAAGAGTACTGAGTGCCTCACTTCCAGTATTTGCCGTGCTTGACGGTCTCTCGGTCTCCACCATGTATTCTTTTTATTTCTTAAGAAAAAAACAAAAAGTTAAATCCATTTTTTTTTATAAAATATCTAGCTACCAATTAATCACTCGGCTCTACAAACACATTAATTATATAAATTCTAAATTTTATTGAATTAAATATTATAAATCAATCATTATTAATATAGATTAGATAAATTCTCGTATTTTGTCGACTCGGCGATTTGGATAAGGGCATCCCTCTATTCCATTCCTGCGCTAGCTTAGGAATGATCGGGATGAGAAGATATAGGGGGACAATGAAGTAAACGCGAAAAATTTTGCGTTATTTTTTTGGCACCCCCTATTATGAAAGTTGATGGGCTTCCAGTAAGGTAGCTTACTTCAATGATATTAAAAGACTCTCTATGTTAAGCACTGTTTGTTTGGCTGCCGTTTTGTGTACGCCAGACGTGCTCAAACTTAATTACGTATTATAATATCATGTATTAAAAATTTTTATTTGAGTAAATTCTATCAAATTATTAATTGTATAGTTAAGATGACTAAACTTGTATATATGAATTTATTTTTAATTAATTCAATATGCTATTTTTTTTTTTTTTTTACCATTCTCTTCCATGTTCTTAGTGTGGGTTCTTGAAGTGTTTATATGGGTCTTAGCATTATGATGGGCTCGGCCCAGCCCAGCCCAGCCCGGCCCATCATCAATAGCTTTGCCTTTGCCTTTCCTAATCTAAATGAGAGAATTGTACTACTAGAGACAAGAACTCTTGGGTTGGGATTGAAAAACTTTTCTCAATATACCTATTACAATCTCTTTTAAGAAGGCTTCTAGACATTCCTTACTTCACTTATTACATAGGTTTGTAAAATTGATTTTTTTCGGACATCTCACTTGAGGAAATCATCTTCTATGTTTGATATCTCGTCTCCTGATTTTCCAACGACATAATCTACTATTCATTTTTATATATAATAAACGATTTTTTGAATGATCATATTATTAAGATATCGAGTTTTATTCACTTATTACGTATCGTACAGTTTTAAGAACTACTTCATTATATAATATCTTATACTTTGTTTTCTCCAAACTGTCATATCTTTTTTTCACTTTTTTTTCTTTGTTGCGTTTCATAAGATTTTATTCTTCGATTTATGACATGTACTTATTTTTTTTTTCTATTATTGTTCAATGTATATAATATTTTTTATTAATAGTTATAATTAATTCAATTTAATGTCTTTAATTTGTATAAATTGGTTAAAACTATTTAATTCAGATAACATAATACTCTTATATAATAATTAATTAATTTAATTTGAGTTTAAGACTCGATCCTATTTAAAAGAAAATATATAAATTGTAACATTTAAGGTTCTCGTTTTGTATAGTGCATAACATTGAATCTAATTAACTACAAAACTTGTAACATCACAAAGGACAATCATCCCATACATACACAACTCTATATATGTAAATGTATAGACCATGTTATTGCCCTGGAGAATATACATACATACATATATATATATATATAAGATACTAATTAGATAGCTAACCATAATGATTAATGACATCTTCAGTACTGATCAGGCCACAAAAATGCTCCCATTGCAAAAGCTCTCTTCTCATCAAGGCTGCCATTAAAGCTGAGTCCATACTCTCTGAGAAGCAGATCCACCTTCCACTCCTCCATCTTCTCGTACTCACTCTTACTGTATCTTGGATAATGCAGAGGCATTTGGAACTCCGAACAGCACCCTCCATTAACCCTCTTCTCCTTCAACCTCTCTATCCCTACGACCTTCACCTTCTCCTCTCCCTGCTGGTTGTACCCTAAGACATGGCATGCTGAGTGAACAAACCACCTTAGAGCCGCCATGATCTTTCTGGGTCTATCAGGTTGTGTAAGACAAGTTTAAGCTCTAGGAGAAGTGCCTTACATATATATATATATATATATACATGTACATGATTGATGTACACTAATGCGTGTACGTAGATTAATCCAGGTGGAGTAAACGACAAAAAAACTGAGTAATCTAGGCATTAAGCAAAGATATAAAGAATCTTCTCTTCTAATATTCATCAATCATTTAAGTAGAGTCCAGATATTATGGCTAGAAATCTGTATGATTAAATATATATATATATACATATATATAAATGGCAATCACAGATATATATACATATATATATATGTAGGTTGTATAATTTGGTTTAAAATTTAAGGAGAGAAGGCATCGTGTCCCGAGTAGGGGTTATAAGTCTCTTTTGGTGCATGACAACAATGAGTTCATAGCGAAGTTGCGTGTTTACATGCCATGACACGTTTGCTACTGTTAACGTCATACTCAATTATTTACATGTTCTGATTTGGTGCCTTCATAAATACGTTTATATATATATATATATATATATATATACATACATATTTGCTATATCAAAATTTGATAGTTATCTCTACGTGGGTAATAATAAAGATTTACGATCTTTTAAATCTCTAATTTTTTTTTTCCTCATTGTCTTCGATTATACCTTCAAATTGTTACTCATGTACCTAAAGAATTTAATTTATGTTCAATATTTTGCATATGATAATAATTACTTTATTTATAATAATTAATTTAATAAAATTCAAAATTTAATTTATTATTATATTAATAGAAAGTGATGACTAAATTATATTTAAATTTTAATAAATTTATTATATTTTTGGTAAAATAAATATTATGTAACAGTTTAATTTCTTTAATTGAATATTTATAATATATTAAAATTTAATATTTACGAAGTAAATATTTTTATTTGGATGTATATAACGGATTAAAATCTAATATAGTATTTTTAAATATTGAGAAAAGATTATATTTTTGAGCTAAGTGAGAATTTCTTGAGATTCAAACAAGGAGTTATTAACTAGTCATATATATTATATATATATATATGTATATATAAGTTTCATGTGTGTGTATATTATATATAGATTTCCACTTCCACCTAATTAATTACTACTGCAAATGCTCAGTTCGGCCTCCTGATCTTCTATATACCTGCACGAACGTGATTGCTGAAGAATATCTTTTCCCACCCAAACTACTTTGCTTTTAATCCTGTTATTAATTATACCTGTACTTATACATATATATATATATATGTATATATATATATATAATCTTCATTCATCTGCTTTTTCTATTTGTAAACAACAGATGTTCCACTTTTCCCTATCAACCATTCAATGTTATTAATGTTCTTAAAATCATTTAAATTTATCCTTATAAATTGCTAATCCACATGTTTATAACTTTTTTTTTTTTCAAACATACCGAGCAAAAGCACCTAGTTATATATATATATATATATATATTTGTACACATACTGTTTCGACTAACTTTATATTCCACTAAAAATTACTTAAAGCATTCATGAATGGGTGTATATTAGTATAAACAATTATAAATTTTTACTAAAATAACCATTACACCGTTTTTGTATAATAAACAACATATTTTCAGTATATGTATACATGGGTATATATTATTATAAACAACATATTTTCAATATATGCATATATGGGTATTATATATGTATGTATATATATATGTAAAATCAGATTGGTGTGGCTTAATTTATCGTTGTGAATCAATCTGTCTGGCATTTCCTGCAATCCTTAAAAGCAGTCAAAGAGGCAAGACCATAACTATATATATATATATATATATGTGGTATCTGGTTTTCAATAGAAAAGAATATTCTACAGCTAAAAACCGCCAAATAATCAATTATACCCTATTGTGTTATAAGTTTATCCTGCAAAAAGTAGTGGCAACTCTAGTAATTACATCCAATCAATCGTCTACTTTCAAACCTCTCGCAGCTATAAATATATCTCTTCACCTTTCAAATTGATCAGTGATATTGGTCACCTCCATTTTCGCTTACCAAGAAGGTATATTCTTCCCTGCTCTCTTTAGATGTAATGGATTACATGTATACAGACATCTACATGTATACATCATGTTTAAGTATTTTTATCAGTTGATAGATGTGTGGATAAAAAGATTAATGCCTAGCGTTAACTGGGTTTATTCGAGTGAATGTTGGCCTGTGATATATATATATAGGTCTCTTACATATATATTGGCTTTCAAACATTAGCTATTACACTTCACTATTGATGTATCGATGTATCTGCATGCAACCATCATGTGAGTGTATGTATATATCCATCTTGAGTGTTTGGATTATGGTTGTGATGGGTATATTTGGTGCATTTGCAGGCTAGTTTTTGAGTTACCCTTACATCCACTGCCTATATATATATATAGATATATATGTTTTGGGAAGGTTTGGTAATGGCAGGTGTGGTCGGATTGAGATCAAAGAAGCTTATTCTGAGAAGATCACCATGCTTACTCTCTATGGCTTTGGCTTTTGCCTTTCTTCTAGCATTAATGTTATCTGGTACGTGTGTGTATATATATAATCTCTTTCTCTCTACTAATCAGCTGATGAAACAAAATTTTTTAAGTGGCAGCAGTTTAGATAACAAGATTTTTCCAAGTAAAAGGAAATCAAGCATGCAAAAAGGGGAACTTATATATATATATATATTAACATGACCTTGCATGTACGCACCCTAATTCCCTCTCTAGAGTTAATTAATTACCTCTTGAATTGCTAAACTATTAATTACTGCATTAATGATTCATAATCCTCAACTCTCAACTACTGCTAAATGTATTCTAAAAAATAAAAAAATTAATAATTATTTTGTTAAATAGTTTATACATATTTTCTCTGTGTGTGTTATCTCTTAATAGTTATTTTTATTATATTACAATTGATATATATATATATATATTTAATTAATAAAAATATGAATTTACAATTATTCTAAAAATGGAATTAAAGCAAAAATGGGTTTAGTCTAGTTGTTAAGTAAATATAAGCATTAATTTTGGCATGAATGTCTTATATATATATATATGTAAGTTCTTTTAAATTATACATTTCATAAATTACATGACATTTGTATATCTATAAAAATATATGTAATGCACAACCCATGAGTCAATTTTATATCTTTATGAGGATATATAGATGTATCCTTCTTTCAATCAAAAAATATTTGGTAGTTAAAATTAATTATGGTTCAAAAATTTAATGAAAAATGCAGGTGTTGAGTCTTATCATGAAAAGGAAGAAGATGATATAGTTGGTAGGGAAGGCGGCAGAAAGAGTAGGGTAGTGATGTTTCCCAAGAACAACATAACTACTGCCCTTGCAGCTCGTAAGATGCTGCAGATGCTGCAGTCTACTGGTAACTCTCTCTCTTACAATATTACTTGTCTGTATATATATATATATCTATATATACTACCCAAATATTTTGTAGAATATATAGAATTGAAAGAAAGGTTTTTTCTCTATCCTGGCCGAACTCCACGTGTAGGTAAATCTAAGATCAATTAATTAACTAAAATGATGTTGTAATGCACATTAATTATGAAGCTTATCTTATTTTGTAAAAAAAACAAAATTATAGATGATGGAGACAAAAATCGGATGGGAAAATCATGTTCGAAGGACGATATAGTGATATTCCAAGGTTCATCGACTCCGCTCCCGAGTGGAATTCCGTCGTACACGGTTCAAATCCTCAACTCCTGCGTCTCCGGTTGCAGCATTGCCGACATTCACCTCAGCTGCGGCTGGTTCAGCTCTGCCCGGCTCGTAAACCCTCTTGTTTTCCGGCGTGTCCGCTATGATGATTGCATTGTTAATAATGGCGACGCTCTTGGTCCTGGACAAACCCTCTCCTTTCAATATGCCAACACTTTTCCTTACCCGCTTTATGTCTCTTCTGTTTCTTGCTGTTGATCCATGAGATCTACCACCAGTAGAAATAGAATATCGGTGTAAATTTTTGCTGCTCTTGTTTTCTTCTACTAATATTATTAGCAGAGGGTTTGTGGTAAATTGGGTTTCAACTTTTGGATCCTGGGCATGCGCTGGCTTCTCATATTTTCTACCTCATGGCCCAAATTATTCCTGTATGGTGTTCAGATTTATATCTATTTTATCAACATAACAAGACATATATATACATATGCAGAGAAAGAGAGCTCTGCTTCACAAGAAAATTGCTAATTAATCAATTCTGTAGACAAAAAAAAAAAAAAGGAATACATTGCTAATTAATCAATTACTGGGCATAATCATAACTGAAATCAGTGACACCAACCATGGCAGATAGGATTTGAGAAACAAGATAAAGGGAACCCCCCATGATTGCCAAGATTAAAATTGCAGAAATTGGGTTCTTCAACAACTCAAAGATTGGCTTGGCGATGGTATAAACAGCACCAGTACTTACAGTAAGTGCATACAGCGCATATCTCCTCACATTATCCCAAAACTCCTCCACTAACGGCCCTTCAGGACCCAGAGCCAAAGCCTTCTCATCTCCCATCATCATCATCATCCCCATCACCACCGCCACCGCAAACCCTCCAAACACCATATACCCATTTGCAGAATCTTCCAAAGATTCCTCCTTTTGGGGTTCTTGGACCGAAATCAGACTAGGGTTTTCTGCGAGAGACTCTTTTGAAGGGTACCCAATAGTTTGTTTACGGATTTTTGAGGGTGTTCTTGAGAAATTAATGGATTGTTTTCTGTGAAATGTTGAGGAATTGGTAAGGAGCAGAAGAGGATGGTTTGGAGCCGAGTTGGGTTTTGGTAGGTGGATTTGGAATTTGAGTGTAGAGATATTCATATTGGTAATTCTGATGGTTTAGAAGGTCAGATCATACTGTATCTGCTCTGGGAGGAGACCATCATGAGCTTGTGGTGGATGCAATTCTCTCTTTTTTAATGCCTTATCTCTTCTTAGCCAAAAGGGGTTGAGAGAGAAAGAGAAGAGACAACTACAACTAGTGATTTAATGGAATTTAAATTAATTAAATTTTGATGCATAAATATTTAGTGTTATATATATTTATAATGTTAATATATACTTGTTATTTGCTATTATATTTAAATATTATTTTATTTTAATTAATGTTGAATATTTTGTCTCGTGGCTACCTCTACAAGGAGAATCGTTGTGCACCCATTGCTAATAAAATGTATATAAAGTTTTGGATTCAAGTTCTTCAAATGTACATAATTTCTCAGGAATTCCAAATTAGAGAAGAATTTTACACAAGTCATGGGATATACAAAGCAAAATTTCTATAGATACCACGTGTTTAAATCACATACCATGCATGTCATCCAATGGTGACATCAGACCAGAATATGCTCGCTATTGTATGTATACGTACAAAAACTTGTATCCATAATTCCCTTTTTGCCCTTCCCTTTTTTCTCACACTTTCTTCTTCCCTCACCTTACCAGACGTCATGAGCTGTTGCTAACCCCCAACCCCTACGAGCAAGTCCTCCATGACTCAAGCGGCCTTCTCTCCCCTTTTCTCCCTCTCCCTCGTTCTCTCTCTTTCCTCTCGTATTCTTTCCCGTCATTCACTTTTCTTCGCAGAATTTCCATGTCTTGTGAAGTGTAAAAGTTTTCACTTTTCAAGTTCTTTTTTTTGTGGTTCTTCTCTGTTGAGTAATTCAGGCCGCTGTTAGTTCTCTTTGGGGTTTTTTCTTTGTGGGTTTTGTTCTTTGCCTGGTGTTAGGTCGGGATTAGTGGGTTTCCTCTCTTTGTTTGCGTGAATGATGCTAATGGTGTTCGGTTCTTTCGTCTGTTCCGCCAAGTCTCTGTGGTCTCTCCAGCTAAGCTAGAGCCTGGTTATTTTTCTCGTTTAGGGTTTTTGGTTTTAAAACCCTTTATTCTCGCTTGTTTTCCCTTGTTTTTTTTGTGTGGCTATTTTGGATCATTCCCAGTTCTTGCTTCAGTTTCTGTACTAAAGAGGACACAGAATCCCCTCCTTTTCTTTACATTTTTGTTTAGGTTTTTCTCTGATTCCTGTGTTTGTTGGGTTTCTCGTAATGGGGTTTGTGTTTTCTCGAGAACTCCGTTACAATCTTAAGGCTTGTGAACTGGGTGCATATTCTTTTCATTGATGACCGACATGGTTCATCGGATATCAAAAGCTGGTTCCTTGACTTTGGAAAGTAGCAGCTCATCCGATTGAGTTCTTCTTGGAATCTGTAATTTCTTTTTCCTTCTTTATACCAAAATGTCTGCAGATAATCATGGTTTTGTGGCTTGGGAAGAGCACATTGTGTGCAATGAGCGTGGTAGGCGTCTGGTTCACTTTTTCTTGAAGGATGCATCCGGGGACTCGGTCCTTGTAGTCGAGGGGACCGAGAGGAGTATACGGCACATGATGTATGTAGTTTCAGATGAGTTCTTGCAGATTTACGGATCCAAAGTATCCATCAATGCCTGTACAAAATGGCGAGCAAGAAGAGACGTCGTGGAGTGGTTGAACATGATAGTTGGAAGTATGTGCTTTTACGTATTTGCATATTTTAGGTTTTCTATTACCTGCTTTATCTGTATTTTCATTGCGTTTTTTCCTTTTAAATAGAAGATTTGAAGTTCTTTATTGTTGTAGAGTATAGATGTAATCTTAATATAGTAGATGGTGCTAATTTCCCATTGACAATATGGGGCAGGACTAGACTAGCATTTGAGTTAGCTAGTCTTGGGATTGTGTAGCATTCAAGTCTTTGCATTAGCCCAAGGGAATAATTTCCCATTAGTTTATAGTTCCCTTTTTCTGGTCTTACTTAATCCAGCTGTTAGTATTTTGATTACTAACTACCAATTTATTACCTTATCAACTTACTCTGTGGAATCTTGTATTTATAAGAATTGCCAGATTAACAGAGTTCTTAGTTGTTCATTAGCTAAAATTGACGATGTTTATAGACATAGTTAGCTCCTTTTAATATTTCCGAGTTACTATGGACGGTGTCCTCTATTTCATTTGGCTTAGCATGTTAAGACCAAATTGGCTGCTGTAAATATGTGAGCAATAGTGATGTATTCTTTCATATATCTTTGATGTTGCCAAGACATTCTATTGCAGACATCACTTTAGACATATTTGGAGATAATAGTGTGTTTGTGCATTTGTGAATTTGTCTCACTCTTTGTCCACGATTGCTAGCATTTCCAGCATGTCCTCATTTACATATAGATGTGTGTACGATCGCATGCGTGAATGTGTTCTCACTCTTTTTGAAGGTTGGAGTGTTAGCATTTCAAGATTAACTGATATTCCCATGGTTCATAGATTTCAGCTTAGGCTAACCTTTATTATTGGTCGTAAGCTCTTTAGCTAATTCATCTTTGTTCTCTCGTGATTAGTTAGGGATTTGAAGTACCTTTGATGTTGTTATTTTTTGGGTTAGTGTCATAGCCTAGTTATAGATGCTCATTTTTTCAGGATTGGCATTTACATTCTG